TAAAGGCCACACTCACCGTTGTTACCCTGACAGCCCCATTCCACTGATGAGAAAATGGAAGTGCAGTCAGTGGCAGAGCCAGGATTCGAACCCAGTTCCTTCCAAAGCCTAAAGAGATGCGAACGGGAATGCGATGCTGTGGGGAGAGCCCCGGGCTGGAGTTAGGAGATGTGGCTCAGATACCAACTAGTCTAGTTTTCTGTGGTCTTGGAGAGGTCACACCTCTGTCATGGGCCTTTCTTTTCTCCTCCCCTAGAAATAAAAATGTTGGAGGAAGGGATAATAGAATCTGTCAGAGCCACCTGACAAACAGGTGACCCCTGGGCAGGTGCCATTCTCCTTAAGTGCCTAGTAAGGACCCTCGGCCACCCTAGTCTAGCTTGATACTTTGCACATTTCCAGGGTGCCATCTGCCCAATCCACCGCGTCTCTGAAGGATTAATTAGGCAGCATCTGTAACCAAAGTCATCCAGCACCCATGGGTGGGAGATGGTATACATGGAACCAGGACTGCTGGCCAAGCAGCCTTCCAGATGTACCCATTTTGGGTTCCTCAAAAGCTTTCAGCAAGTGGAAGCCTCACCAGAGCGTTGTCCTGTGTGCAAAAGCATCATCAGCTTTGAGACTCCCCTGCTCGTCTTACCTTCCACCACAGTCTACTCTGCCTGCCTGCTGAGTCTGTTCAGAGTTAGAGGGAGAGAGGAGCCCCTGTCCCACCAAAGGTAGAGCCCTCAACCTTGATCCTTTTTCCTTATTGTCTGCCTCCTGCATAGCCTTTTGCCCGAGGGGGTAACAAACCCAAAAGAGCGCAAAGTCTGTCTTCTCCAAACCTACCCATAGATCTCTTGTTGAGAATCCAGGCTGGGAAGGAAGATGAGACCATCTAATAAAACACAGGGCAACAGAGCCCTTGACTGCTCATAGAGACGGGCAACTCATCTGTCATGTTCTTTGCAGAAAAAAATGCTTCCACAAACACGGTTCTCTGCTCATGAGACTGTGCTGGGCTATGCAGGGTTCCTTCCATGATGCCACAGGGTCTTAGGGACACAGCCCAGACGCAGGAAACATAGTGACGGAGCTCCAGGCTGAGTGGAGATAGCCGGGATGCACAGAGGCTCTCTATGGATGTAGATGTGGGTGGCCCTTTGGGAAATGACAGGCGTTTGGCTGTATGCTGGGAGGTGGGCAGGCAGAACCTGCCAGCACTTCACTGCAGGTGGGAGAGGAGCTCTGTGCCCTGGGGAGAGGTGGGTACTGAGCTTTAGTTTGGTCTCTGTCAAGAATGCGGTGTGATTTTCTGGCCTGGGCCAGGATTCATGGTCCTCATCATTCCAACCCCTAGCTCCAAGCCAGAGGGGAGACTTCTGAGCTGCTCTTCCCACCCCAGATATAACACCTCCTTCCCCACCGTTCCCCAGGAGCCAGAGAGGTGTGGGGCTGGGCTGGGTCTCTCTGACCAGCCTGGCTCCATCCTTACCTATTGTCAGCTTTTGTTCTTGAGGCAGCTGCGCCAAGAGCAAGCTTGTGCCACTAATACTCATCCTAGGACTGGTCACCAGAGTCCCCCAGGGGGGCTTCTGAGAGAGGCACACGTGCCAGCCTTGCTCTCTGAACCTCAGCAGACTCGGGTTGACGCACTGGTTCTTTGTAAAGGCTGCCGTCAACTGAGGCCCCACCATGTGCGCCACACCCTCTTGGGTGCTTCACTTGTGTTTTTTCTAATCGGTCATTGAGTCAGCTGCCTGACCTCCCTGACCAGGGGGCACGCAGGTGTGAGGGGCTTGCCCAGAGCCTTGCCGCTCGCCCTGATGAAGCTCAGTTACAAGGAAGGGAAGGACGGGAGGGAGGAGGCGCTCCCTTCTTGCCAAGAGCCGAGGAACCAACAGGAGGCCTTTTGCCCCCTCTTGGCAACTGGACCTCACCCTTGAAACTCCCCCCTCTGTTCTTTTCATATTTCTTTTTTTGGGGGTTGGCTTCAAATTATCTTGTTTTGTTTACATTACACCCAAGTTTCGTGGTACAAAAGACTTGCAGGTGCAAATATGTCCCGCCTTCATTAACTTCCCCTCCCTTTTTAATTTATGTGATTTCAATTTTCCTTCCCTGTACTGTTAATTAGGGGACCCTCTAATCAGTGCCATTATCACAGTGGTATTCATGTTTAGGAAAGCCGCTAAACAAATGCTTGCAAAATTGCTAAATGGCTAATTAATGTCTGTTAATTAAGAAAATTGCTCATGGTAACAAACCATGCCGTTGCTGGCAGCCGCTAGAAAGACACACACTTGTTGAAATTAGTAGCATGGCAGGTAGGGGAACATCTGCTCCTCGGAGCTTTCCGGAAGTGAGCAGCTCCTCGCTTGGCCAAGAAACTCCCAGGCCTGTCAGCGGCGGCGCCCTTGGGTTCCTTTACAGCCCCCTGTGATGTTCTCTGCACACCTCTTTTCGGTGGGCCCACGCCCGCTGTCTCGGGCCTGCCCCTCCTCCCCAGCCCTGGGCTCTGCCTCCCCAGCAGACAGGCGGCTGGCAGCCTGGCTCTGCAGGAGAGGGCTGAGGGTGAACCCTATCTAGGCAGCTCTGCTCTCTTTTTAATTTCGCCACACTCATCCCCTGTGTGCATTTTGAATTTTTCTGAAAGCCAACTTCTAAAAAAACAGCACAATCATGGGTGGGGAAGTGCAAGGGGGGCCTGTCTTGTCACCTCTGGCATTGGCACCCCCAGCTAGGTGGGCTGGAACGTGCTTCCGAAGCAGCTCTCCACACTCACTGACTTGACCCACGCTAGGAAAGTCTTTCGGCGTTGTGACCCAGTCTGTACACACACGAGTATTTACACATGCCACTGGGGTCCGTGAAAGACACCTGCCTTAAAATACACAAAGCTCTCTGACATTTTTTTTAATTACCTCGGATTTTTAAGAAATAATTATTGCAGCTTGCTAAATGGATGAGTGTGTTGCAGTCTGTAGTTTGCAACCCCAAGGTTTAAGTGAATTCATCTGCCTGTGTCTTCTAGAGGGGTTGAGGTCAGCGTAGCCCAGGGTTGTGGCAGTGGGGGTGGGGGTCAGCTTTGAACAGAGGTATGGAAAGCACAGCTCACCCATTCATCCAGCAGTCAGGGGTCCCCGCCCTTCATGTACTACCCCATCTCCCCACCTCTGCACCAGGGCTGTTGGGTTTTGGGGCTGGAGATGGGCCTTGGACCCACGAAGCTTCTCATCCTGGCTCTGCCACTGACCAGTTTTGTGGCCGTGGCCAAGTTGCATCATCCCTTGAGACTCATATTCCTCATCAGTAAAAGTTGGAATGAGAAACCCTACCTCATAGGGCTGCTTTGAAATGCAGGTGAATTCACAGTGTGCAAACATGCGCTGCCCACACCGCGTGGCCCTCACTCACTGTCTATCCCCCCACTCCCTTTGTGTTACATCTGTGGTGCCCCAGCTCCTCCCACCTCTGTTATTTATCTGTCAGTGCCCCTGGGCCTCTCCCTGACTCTTGATCAGTCCTACCTTGAGTCACTCATAGCCGTGTCGCTGTCCCCCAGATTGTGAGCTCCTTGAGGGCAGGGCCCTTCCTGATCCTTCCCTACCCACCCTGTGAGTGGCACCTACATGCTTTGCACCTGGGTCCCTGTGTCTGTGCATCACTGTACTCCCTCTGAGCCTGTCTCAACCAACGTATTTAACATGGCAAACTCCGCTCCAAGGGTAGGCTGTGTCCAGGACCGTGTACTCCTGTGTGCTCTGACAGAGGTGCTTCATTTTATTTTTTGTTCTTTCAACACCCCCATGAATGTATTGATCAGCTTCTCTTGCTCCCGCTCGCCGTTTTACACTGTTGGGCCGGCGACCAAAGCAGCAGCTCCACCACCTCCCACCAACCAGAGCCCACTCCCCGCACGCCCGCCGCCCACCCTTTGTTTTGGTTTAATTTTTGTTCTTTTAAGCTTCTTCTGCGCTTCTCCATGTGCTGTGATCTATAACCTGCCTCTACTGTCTGGCCTCACAGGGTCCTCCGGGGTCACAGCCCTCGCCGCACGCACAGCCTCCACCTCACAATCCTAGCAGCATGATGGGACCCCACAGTCAGGTAAACACACCGTGGCGCTCCCGCCCGCCGGGGGCGCGGGGCACGGAGGAAGCAGAGAGCCCGCAGAGGAAAAACAAAAATCAAAATGTGCTCTAGCCACTACCTGCGAGTATTTATTGACCAACGAAATTTTTTTAGAAATTTCTTTTTTCTAAAGATAGTCTGCATTCCTCGGATATCACACTCAGCTTGGATACGAAACCAAAAGGAAAATAAAAAAAAAATATATATATATATATATATATATATATTTCTGTGACCTTGTCAGCGGCCTTTGCGTTTTTGTTTTTTCCTCTCTCACTTTTGGTTTGGTTTTGAGTTTGGTTCACCATTTGTTTGTAACTGAAGCTACATTCTGAGCCTTTTCTTTGTGCACTTGTGCTGCTGAGAAAGCTTTCCTGCCATTCCCCTGCATTAAGTTAGGGAGCCCGCTGTCTCCTTCCCGTTTCCATGGCGTTTCCCCCCAGTCCTTGCTCCCCTCTCCATGCCCACTGGTGTTTTCTGTGTGTGCGTGCTCGTGTGTCCAGCTTTGTCTGCAGACCCTTAAAATGTTACATAGAAGTCCTCCTTAACCCTTTTATTTGCCCTTATGGAGAGCAGAGGTTTCCTCCTCTGCCCTGCCTTGATTTAACGGTTTTTCTGTGTCTTTTGCAAAGTCCCAGCCGTTGCCCTTCCACCCACAGTATATCTCCATGAACAAATGTAGAGTCGGGAGACACATCTGTTGTGTGGATCTGTTGTTCCCTCTACCCAAAGGAAGTTTTGCTTAAAGGGAAGAGGCTACCAGGAGAAAGACAACTTAAAAGATCAGTAGTTATAACAAAATGGGACTTTGTGAAGAGCACTTGTATTTGTCACTGTGCAGTAGGGCAGGCTGTCATTGAACTGATTCCCTATAATTGCAGCCTTTTATGTCACCGCGATACGCAGGCGGCCCCAGGCCCCCGATCAGAATGGGAAACCAGGTACTGTACCTTTTCATGTTCTCTCCCCGCTCCCTCAGCCATCCTTGGCCCTAGGTAGACTTTGACTCAAATGAAAGTTGAGGAAAGGATTGAGGGGTGGAGGGACAGGTTTAACGTGGCTGGTAGCTTACTAACTGTTCCCCAGAGGGGACCCCGTGCCCCCGCTGTGCCCGTGGTGCATCACCTGCCTCTCCAGATGGCCTTTGGACGTTCATTCTGGGGCTCAGAAGGTGGCAGTAGATGCAGCCAAGGCGCATCTGGGATTGCAGGGTTTCGGCTATTCTAGAGAAGATGGTAAATGACCTGCCCCTCCCTTCCACCCTCTTCTTGGAAGAGGATCTTCCTCCATAATGAAGTTAATTGACAATGTGCATTTTTTCCTGGAAGCTTTTGAGAATTGCCAAAGCTGGTAAATATAATCCTGCTATTGGGGGCGAAATGGCCCATAGGAATGCTTAGATCAGGATCCTGGATGCAGCAGAGCAGGAGATTTGTGAGTTTTTCAGCAATGTGTGCCTGCTTCCCAGACCCAACTCAAAACAAGAAAGGATCTGTTCGTGTAAATAGAAAAGGGGTTTGATTATGGGGAGGGCTTTTCAGCCTGGGGTCATTTGCCTTACGCTGGCCCATTAGGGTTGGCAATTCTAGGTGGTCTGGAGAAGTCAGCCCACACGCTCCCCTCCCTGGTTCAGGGCAGGAGGGGAGCTGCAGAGGTAAATATGAATAGATACCTCTTTTGAGTATAGACAGACTTAAACTTTCTTTCTTTCTTTTTTTTTTTTTTGAGACAGTCTTGCTCAGGCGCCAGGCTGGTGTACAGTGGCACGAACTCGGCACACTGCAACCTCCGCCCCCCAGGTTCAAGCAATTCCGTCTCAGCCTCCCCAGTAGCTGGGACTACAGGCGCACCCCACCATGCCCAGCTAATTTTGTGTTTTTTTTTTTTAGTAGAGACGGGGTTTTACCATGTTGGCCAAGGTGGTCTTGATCTCTTGACCTCGTGATCCGCCCTCCTCGGCCTCCCAAAGTGCTGGGATTACAGGCATGAGCCACTGCGCCTGGCCAAACTTAAACTTTCAAGAAATATCAGGGAATTTTTCTGCTCAAATTTTTTTAAACTGAATTATTTCAGTGACTTTGCAAAAGCCCTTCAGAAAAATCTGCCAGCAGCGCCAGAGAATCCAGCCCTTGTTGCCTTTGGAGCTGGGAGTTGAGTCACCAATTAAATTGGCATTGTCTGAGTTTAATGCTTTTCGTTCTTAGGGCTCTGCAAGAAAGCTCCTGAGTGAGGTGATGCAGGGACTATGGAGAGATGCTCCTAACTAGGGAGCATCCAATTTTTTTTTTTTGAGACCAACTCTTGCTCTCTGTCCCAGGCTGGAGTATAGTGGGGCGATCTCTGCTCACTGTAACCTCTGCCTCTTGGGTTCAAGCAGTCCCACCCAAGTAGCTGGGATTACAGGCGTGTGCCACCACACCCACCTAATTTTCATATTTATAATAGAGTCGGGGTTTCACCATGTTGGCCAGGCTGGTCTAGAACTCCTAGCTCATGTGATCTGCCCACATTGGCCCCACAGTGCTGGGATTGCAGGCATGAGCCACTGTAGCCGACCGGCTCTCCAGTTTTAATGTTAAATTGCCTATCGGGTGTCCATCTTTTTTTTTTCCTCCAAAAGTCCTTCCTTTTCTATTTTCTCTGACATGAAGGGAACAAATTACAAGAGGAATTAGAGACCCAGCTCTTTGAGCAAAAGAAGGGACCCCTGGATACATCACAGATAAGGAAACAAAAAGTCACAGTGGAGGAGTGACTTCCTAAAGGGAGCTGGGCTGGAGTTGGTTCCAGCCCAGTGCTAATTGTGCTCTACTCCACTCGATTCATCAGCCTTCACAGATGTAAGATTGCTACCCCTCTCTGTGTTTTTTTGGGACAGAGTTTCACTCTTGTTGCCCAGGCTGGAGTGCAATGGCACAATCTCCACTCACTCCAGCCTCCACCTCCCAGGTTCAAGTGTTTCTCCTGCCTCAGCCTCCCTAGTAGCTGAGATTACAGGCGTCAACCACCATGCCCAGCTCATTTTTTGTATTTTTAGTAGAGATGGCATTTCACTATGTTGACTAGGGTGGTCTCAAACCCCTGCCCTCAGGTGGTCCACCTGCCTGAGCCTCCCAAAGTGCTGGGATTACAGGCATGAGCGTCCGTGCCTGGCCCCATCTGTGTCTTTGACCCATCATCACTGGGCCTGCTTTGCCAGGGCACGTAGAGACGTCGGCAGCAGCCTTCTCACCCACCCACCCAGGAGCTCTCCTTGGTCCAAACTGGCCTCTGCCAGGGAGAGAGGAGCTACTTCCTTATCATAATTGTGGCCCTTCTTCTGGCAATTAAGGGACATGGAGAAGGGAGTGTGTATGTTTCTATTCAGCAGCTAAGCATGAGCAACTACTTGAGAGCAAATGGGGGATAAATCCATCATCTGCACTTTGCATTACAAGCCAGTTTTCCCAACCTCCCTGCCACCCCCCATTAGAACTCTACACTGGGGCTGGGCGACGTGGCTCACACCTGTAATCCTAGCACTTTGGGATGCTCAGGTGGGGGGATCACTTAAGATCAGAAGTTCGAGACCAGCCTGGCCAACATGGTAAAATCCTGTCTCTACTAAAATACAAAAAACTAGCCGGGTGTGGTGGTGCACGCCTAATCCCAGCTACCCAGGAGGCTGAGGCAGGAGAATCACTGGGACCCAGGAGGCGGAGGCTGCAGTGAGGTGAGATTGCGTCATTGCACTCCAGCGTGGGTAATGGAGTGAGACTCCTTCTCAAAATAAAAAAAGAAATCTACACTGGTTTTCCAGTTTCCTGTGAACTCAAGAAATTTTTATCCTCTAAAGAGGGATGTCCCCTTCCACGGGTATTGTCCCTGGGAGTTTCTTGAAGGGTACCCTCGTTGGGACTGCCATTTAACAGAAGACCTGTGCCACCTGAGTTAGCCCAGTTCTCTCCTGTGACAGATGGAGGGGGCAGAGACTAGAGGACTTGCTGGGGCTCACAGGCCATTATGAATGTGCCTTCTGGGTCAGGGGAGTGAGAAGGGCCCTTAGGGGAACAAGAAGCAAAGGGTCAGTGATGTGGCCTCAGGATCTTGCCCAGCCACCTCCCATCTGCCTCCCTGGCTAGAGACTGTGCATGGAGAGTTGCTGTTTTTCAAGTGCGGTTGGTGGGATGGGCGGTGACAGTGGAGTTGAGCCAGGTTTAGGAGACTGGCTGGGTTGTCAGCCCTCCCACACATATCTCGGCAGAGCTCCCACCTGGCAGGCTGGCTGTGCTGGCGGGGCAGGTGAGAGAGCACGCTGATGCAGCAGGGATTTGTCCGCCTCCTGGGTAGACGCTTCCTGTGCCTTGCCCCACACACTGTGCTGTAGGAGAAGAGCTGCCCCAGAGCATCTCACTCCCTGCAGGCCCTGAGGCTGTGTGCACAGTGTGTAATTATGGTCCCATATAACAGCCATTGTTTTCCCCCTCAAGTTTGAGGGCTTCGGCCTCTCAGTGCAAGACCCCTTTCCTTGGTTACTGCACACCTCCTTTCTCTGATAGAAAAGTTCCAGCCTGTCTCTCCCTGTCTGAGGGTCACCTCAGTGAGGGATGCAACTTCCAGCCCCCCTCTGAGCCTCTGGTCAGTTCAGCTTTGCTCCTGGAGTTCTGACACATAGGAGGGTTAGAGGAATCCAACGAGAAGCTTTCTCCAAGAATCTGTGATCAGCACTGGGCTACGTTGACAGTGTCTGCCACACCCTGTGGCTGTGCCGACAGGGTTGGATGGGGTGGTCCTACACTGGGTAGCTCATGACCCTGACGGTCCCCCATCCACCTCCATGTCCTAAGATCCCCCAATCCAGACAGCCTTAGAGGTAGGTTTTCCTGAGTCACCAGGACTCTATAAAAACCACAAAACCCCAGTGGGCAGGCATAAACCAGCCAAGTGATTCAGAGCTAGGGAACTTGGGGCCAGGAAGCTGGGCTAGGAGTAAGTGAGAGGCCGGAACAGCTAAAATCCAAGGATTGGAAAGACGGTTGCTAAGCACCCCAGGCAGACGGAAACAGCAGGTGCTAAATGCAACTGTGGGCCAGGTGCAGTGGCTCACACCTGTAATCCCAGCATTTTGGGAGGCTGAGGCAGGAGGATCCCTTGAGCCTAGGTTTGATATGATCCTAGGCAACATAGTGAGACCCCATCTCTACAAAAAAATTTAAAAATTAGCAGGTGTGACAGTGCCTGCCTGTAGTCCCAGCTATTGGGATGGCTGAGACAGGAGGATCGCCTGAGCCCTTGTGTTCGAGGCTGCAGTGAGCTATGATCACACCAGGGCACTCCAGCATGGGTGACAGAGCGAGAGACCCTGTCTTTAAAAAAAAATACTAATTCTGCTTGGTGAACATCAGGCACTCCCTAGGTCCTCACACAGTCCTCACATACCTGCTCCCCTGTTCCATTCTGAAGCTAGGGGAATCAGTGACAGTCTGTCCTTTCACATTGCACCACCTCATTTCAGAACCTGTTTGGAGGTCACCATTGAGCTTCGAGGCAGAGGAGTTCCCCCCTCAGCCTCCCCCACAGCAGCACAGCCTGGGCTAGGGCCCTTGGGCAGAGACCCCTGTCACAGATGCCCAGCCTTTGAGCAGCATTGGCACCTGCAGATGAGGAAAGATGACCAGCTGTCACCAAAGGCTTTTCCTCTCAAAGGCAAAGGCTCATGTTTAGCCCTTAGGGATGGGATCCTAGAAACAAACTTCCCCCGACAGCAACTCCTCCTCTCTTTTTCCAGTTGCAGCTGAAATAACTTCAGTCTCAAGTAAATTGCTTTTAATAGTTTTTCACAGGGGGCGTGGCAAGCGTTCACCCAGGAAACTCGTGCCTCCCCGTGCTTACCTTCTCCTTAGTAACCACACCAGCACTGCCGAGGGCCCCAGCTCTGGAGCCAGGTTCTCATCCAGCACCCCTGCCCCTCTCCTAGTGGCTGCCTCTGCAGCCTGTGACTGGGAGCCCTCAGGCCTGTGACCTCAGTTTCTCCATCTCAATCCCAAAGGCTTTCTCGTCCTCTGTTCCCTTTTCAACAGGGCTTTCCACAGTGATAGGATTTTAGGTAGTGGGTGTCTCAGTCCCTGTAATTTTTAGGTAGTGGGTGTCTCAGTCCCTGTAATTTGAAGTTGAGCTAAAATGAGGAATGTCTCTGTGAGACAAAGGCAGGATGGGGTTTGGCTTCAATCGCATGGCTGGGGTTTGGGCAGAAGGAGGGAGTGGGCAGCGCTGCCCCTGAGAAGAATGTGGTTGGTGGTACAGCCAGAGCAATACCTAGAGAATGTTCCTGCCGCACTTCAGAGCTCTGATGGGTATGCAGACTCCCTACCCCAAGACAGTGGGATGGGGCGATGGTTTCCCTCCACAGAACTCCCCGAGAGTGCAGCAGTTTTAGCTAACACCAGTGCCAGCTGACTGGTATGCCCGGGTTGGCCTTCCCCAGCCGGCAGGCAGCAGAAGTGGTCTCAGGGAGGCCATGAGTGGCCCCACATGGTCAGGCGGGGAACTGGATGGACAGGTAGATGCCTCTCCCTGGGTCCAGCAGCTCTGGAGCAGCTCCTCAGTGTGTCTTACATCTCTTTCAGCCTCCGGGAGGAGTTCCTGGGACACAGCCATTGCTGCCCAATTCCATGGATCCCACACGACAACAAGGTAGAGAGGACAGGGTGGGCCTAGGGTGGCTGGGAGTGTCAGGAGAGCTCCTCCTCCCTCTGCTCCTGCAGGCCCATGACGTGCTTCCTCTCTCACGCAGCCCACCCCAACATGGGAGGATCAATGCAGAGAATGAACCCTCCCCGAGGCATGGGGCCCATGGGTCCTGGCCCACAGGTAAGCACCGTCTGTCTGTCTGCCCGTCTCCCTGGCATCTGTGTGCACCTGCCTGCTCTCCTCTTTCCACGGTCTGTCACTCTCCACATCTCTCAGTTCGCAGGGATGAGAGGGGGGCACGTTCTCGCCCCTGCTCCTGTCCCCCGCCATGACGGGCTGGCCTCACGCACTGCTTAAGGCAGCCCCTCTTGGAGAACAGGCAGAGTTGAGGGGCCTGCAGGGAGCTAGGGAAAAGGGGACAGCTAGGGCCTTGTAGTTGGCAGACCCTTTTGGGGTTTGGTGTTCTGTCACGGGATCTGAAGAAGGGCACGGAGCTTCTGAACCCCAGGGCTGCTTCCTCCTGGGTGAGGTGGACTTGAGATAGCTTAGGGCCACCATCTGTTGTGCCCCCGAGGCAGGGCAGATGAGTGGCCTTCCTAGCACTGCCAGAGACTCAGCATGTGTTTGTTCTTGATGCATCACTTTGACCACTGTGGGCTCCAGCAGGCCTTAGTTTCCCTACCTGTTAAGTGGGTACCGTGTCCATGATTCTCTGGTGAGTGCGGGCCACACTGGCAGGACCCCAGCACCACTTCAGCCAGGATTCTTTCTGACCAGAGGGCTCCATGGCCACAAAGGGACCTTCTAGACCTCTTATGGTCAGAGGAAAGTTGCTGCCACTGTGGCCAGCTCTGCACTCCCAGGGAGGGCTGTCGCAGCACAGGTCTGACAGGTGTTCTGCAGTGGAACCATCTCGCAGCGGCCCCCAGCCCTCTGGGTGTTTGCACGTGGCTCTGTTTCCTGTAGTAGCTGTGACAGAGCACCCTCGATGTTCCACCCACTGACTAGAGGAAGCTGGAGCTCTGAATAAGGCAAGGGGCTTGTTTTCAGGTGTTCTTTCCCTTCTCTTCTGTTCTGCCTGGAATGTGCTGCATTGGGCGTTCCCTCGCTTGCGTGCAGGTGTTCGGACTCTCTGGGCCCCCTGTACTGGTTTCTGGGTCCCCTGGGGGTGGAGTAGTGCCCCCCACGCCTGCCCACACGTGCTCCCTTCTATAGGGAGAGGCGTCTGCCCCACAGAACTATAGTCCTCCGCTCCATCCCAGAATTGTATTTACAGCAAGCCCAAGCCACCACTTTTTTCTTAGTGGTGGTTGGAACATCTGTCGTGTTGAAAGATTTTAGGGAGGTCCTTGTCTTCTGCCGGCCCTATAATCCTAAAAGGAAGCAAACCTGCAGCACTTACAGCTCCAGTATCCTGGTTTTGTTCCTTCCTCGAATCCTCTGAAGTTCGTGTTTCTACTAGCTCCTTTTAAGCTGCAGAGTGGCCCCTTCCTGCCTGGCAGCCCTGCCTGGAGCTGACCTCTGCAGGGCTGCCTGCCTAGGGAAGGGGGTGGGGGCATGGTAGGAGCAGAGCTTCCCTTCTCCTGAGTCAGATACAGCTCTCCCTCCCCACAGCCTGAACCGCACAGCAGTCACATTTTACTGGTGTAGAAATCAGCAGTGGCCTTGGATTGGCAGATGTCATGGGATCTGTGTGACTCAGGAGGATGGAATTTGAGCAAGGAAAATTTAACTCCATGGCCCAGCCCATGGATTCTCAGAGGCTCAGTAGCTGCATCTGTAAAATGGGAATAAGAACGATGCCTGACTTGGGGGAAACTAAGGGTTCAGTATCCAGTTCCTTTTTTTTTTTCTCTTTGTTTGAGACAGGGTTCCATTCTGTCGCCTAGGCTGGAGTGCAGTGGTGCCGTCTCTGCTCACTGCATCCTCAGTCTCCCAAGTAGCTGGGACTACAGGCTTCTACCACCACGCCTGTCTAATCTTCATATTTTTAGTAGAAACAGGCTCTTGCCATGTTGTCCAGACTGGTCTTGAACTGCTGGATTCAAGTGATCCCCCCACCTCGACCTCCCAAAATGTTGGAAGTACAGGCGTGAGCCACCGCGCCCAGCCAGGGTCAAGTTCTCGGTGTGATGCTGGCCACGGAATGCTCCGCCTAAGGAAGCTACTTGTGTTTTCCAACTTCAGAGACTTAAAACCAATGTTCAGGCCTCTAGTTGCTTGGGTTTGGGGATTGCTTTCAGTTTCCTTTTTTTTTTCTTTTCTGGCAAAGCTATTAACAGTTTGTTAGGACCATCGAATGCTGAGATTCTAAAGGCTGGGAGTGGATGTCAGGCTGTTGGAGGGCAGCAGGTGTGCTGGCAGTTCAGAACTTCTTCTGGGCATGGTGGATGTCTCATCTTGTCTGCCCCTGGCCTATAGTCCAGCACACTCTTTGGCACACTCTAAAGAGGTGAGGTTCCCAGAGGCTGAGGCCCTGCAGAGAGAGACTCGTGGCCTCACCCAAGCAGTGGACAAGTGGTAGAGCTCCCCTTTGACCCCAGGATTATCAAAGGCGGGAGAGGGAGAGGCTCACCCTTGTTTGTTTATGTTGCACACCCTTGCCAACCTCAGGAGCTCTGGAAGCATCTCTCCTTCTCTTTATTTTACTTTATCAATGTGGCGACCCTAAAGTGCTTCACCCATGTTTCCTAAACCCTTCTGGGTAGGGTAAGTATTAAATCCCAGAGCCAAACCTCCCTTGAAGCAACCCAGGATATCTGCACTGGGCCATCAGTGGGGTCGGGAAGTCCTGGCGTCAGCATGGCACTGGGCCTAGACAAGGTTGATGTGCAGGATGGATTGAAGGGTCTGTGGTCAGCTGGGGCTCATCTTGGGCCTGGCAGAGCCTGGTGGTTTTGGACTCTGAGGTGGAGGGTAGACTATCCCCATTCCCCAACCCTTTCTCTCCCTCCCCTGAGGGTGCTGCCCCCTGGACAGGACAGGGGTGAGCTCAGAACTTAGTTCCAGAAAGCATAGTCCTGACAGCAACTCAGCCTGGCTGGGCCTCCAGTCCTTCATCTGCAAAATGGGCACCAAGTGATGGCCTCGTGGGGCTACTGGAGGGAGGGCAAAATAGCAGCTGTGAAATATAAGCCTCCCCATGAAGTCCCCACATGGTGTCCTCTGGATCCCTTCCCCTTCTGGCAGGCCCTGAGCTTGGGGGAGGCATCCCTGCCTATTGCCACAGCCCAGGCTATCAGGAAGGGCCGCCAGCCCCTTCAGCCTAGAGTAAGCACACTACATGCACAGCACTGTGCTGAGACCAGGCACAAAGGTGGGATACCATCGCCATGGGCTTTGCAGCCAGGAATTAGATTGCTTTTCATCAGTGACCACCCCAGAATTTCTGAACAAAGAATAGGTACGGTGTGGTCAGGGGACTGCTTTATTTTAAAACCGAATGGAGTGATATAAGGTTTTGAAACAGGCAAAATGTGAGTCTGTCACATGTCAGCCTAAATGTCTCAGAGGAAGCAGCAATCCAGGCATCACCCTGTCCTTTGTCCTCAGTGTTCCAGACAGATTTTACTCTGGCTTTGTAAAGTGCCAGTGCTAGAAAGGAGAGAGAGTACTTGCACTTGGTCCCATTCTTCCTGAAAAGTTCTGTGTATGTTGGTATCAGGTAGTAGTAACCTCTTATCCTAGTGTATCAAAAGTGAGTTCTAATAAGACAAAGCTAAAACTGAGGAGCTCTTGGTCAGACTTAGTAGAGAGAATGCCAGGCCCCATCGAAGTGCTGTGGCTCCCACACCCCTTGGGTGCCAATTCCCAGAGCCACTGACATGTCAGCGTTTCTGGTATTCAGGCTGGGGCTGAAGCCAGGGCGGCATAGAATCAGGTCACTATCCTGGTTTGTCTTTGTTTGAGAGTTCAGATGAAGGAGAATCTATAGCCCCCAGGACGATCCTGTGCCTATTCCACCTCCTGGGGCTGATCCAGGGCCAGTCCAAGCTTAGGGCCACTGAGCAGAGGCCCCCAAAAGAGATGGGTGGGTCATTAGTCCTGGTCCTGAGCACTCCAGGCTGGTGAGGAAGGAATGGGGACCCTTGAGGAACTTAACCTTGGTTGGTGGCCCCTGAGGGGTGTCCCAGCATGAGATAGCCAGGCCCCGCTGCCCAGAAAATGGCCTGGACAGCCTCAAGTCCACTCTGGTAGTTGAATCCTATAGACTAGAGAGTTATCCCCTAAGGTTAATAAGTACTGGGTGGTCCTCCTTCCCACCTGCCTCCCACAAGATGCTTGGCTAAGAATGCAGACTCGAGGGACCAGCAGATCCAGGTTTAAACAGTGGGCACCTAGAAGGCCCTTCTGAGGCAGTGGCAAGAGGGAGCAGCCACCGCCTCCAGGCCCCAGCCCAACCAGCTGCTCAGTCCTGTCTCACTGTGGAGCTGGCGGGTGCAGAGCTGAGACTGTGGACGGGGGTGCCTGCACTGTTCCTGACTGTGGATTACACCCTCCGCCCAGGCTCTGGGCCACCCAAGTGGGGACTAGGATGAGGGGTAAGGGGAGACAGGCCCCTGTGAATGTGGCCAGCACTGGAGGCTCCTCTCTTCTGCCTGGCCACCCCTGCCCCTGCAGAGTGGTGCTGAATGCAGAGGGACATCTGCTAATGACCACACCTTGCATGGCTTCGCTATCATCACCTCAGCTGTATGGTGCTGCAGGCAGGCAGGAATTGGCCAAAGAGGAAACCCATTTCTACCAAGTCTGAACTTCTGGGCGTTCCTGTCCTATGTGAGAAAACATCCCTGCAAACCAGATTTCAGCCGGATACTCACTGCTGACATCTGTGTGGCCTTGGGCAAGTCTCTGGCTTTCTGGGCCTCCAAGTTGTCATCTGTGAAACGATGAGGTACAAGTGGCCCTCCAAGGTGTGTGCCGCTATAGGCAAAAGGACTGGGGGAGGAGTTCCCTCTAGGAAGCTGCCATGCCGGCTTTTGGAGAGGCTCCTGAAGGCTGGGCAGGCTCAGGAGCAGCAGGATAGTGCACTCAGAGCCTTCCAGCCCAAAGCTGCATGCTGCATGTCAAGAGAGCGACTGCTAGTCATCTCTTTTCACCCCAATCCGTGCTGAGACATCCCAGGCTTCTGCTCTTGCTCTGAGGTGCAGGCCTTTTTCCTGGGTGGGAAAGGCGGCTGCAGTCCTGGAAGCACGAGTGTGGGGTAAAGCTCCCTCCACTCCATCTGGAAGACCTCTCTAGTCAGCTGGGCTGTACACACAGTGGAGAGGGGGCCTGGGGAGGTGGCGAGCTGCTTGTCCTGGAGCAGCAGGTGGGGAGATGAGGCTGAGATTTGTTGAGTGGATTAGAAAGGGCCCTTTAAGACCTGAGCTTCTGTGATGCTTCAGCAGCATTAAGGGCTTTGGTGTTTGTTCTGCCGCTGACATCACAAATCAGTGCACACCTCCCAGGGCTGATGGGGCACTTCAGAACCATTGTTTCATTTGATCCACTGAGCCCTGCAAGGGTGGGAACACATGGGGCTCTTTGTCCCCATTTTATAGACAAGGCAGCACAGCAGAGGGGCTTGTGGCTCTGAAGCCAGAGCCATGCCGCAGGGCTTCACCCCAGCTCAGCCATGCACAGCTGCACAGTGGGGTCATCACTCTTCTCTGCCTCAGTTTTCTGGTCTCTAAAGTGGGTGGAGTAAAGGGGTCATTGTGACAATTAATTGTAGCAGTGCACACACAGCCTGCGGTACATCCTGGCATGGAGTAAGCACTTCGGTCTTTCGGTGATTTGCCCAAAGTCACCAGCAGGCAGCCAAGCCAAGGCCAGCCTTCCTGTGTTCTGATGTCAGGTCTTGCACTCTGCTCACCCACTTGCAGTAGAGTGGGCTTGGCCCCAGCACACGCCCCCAAGACTGATGCTGTTTGCTTGAAGCCCATGCCCTAAGCAGGCACAGGGTGATGTGGGGTCTGCCCTCTCTGGTCCCAGGTCTGGCTCCTTGCCTGCCAGCCTGGTGTTGCTCCTGAGATCATCTGCATCCTGTCTGGACATTCTTCCGAATCCAAGCCCCTCTGTGACTGACCCAAGTGGAGCAGGTGGCCCCTGGATGTGGAACCCACCATCGGCCCGATATTGGCTCTGCGAGTGTCAGCTCTGGGTCTCTGTCTTCCCATTCCGTCCCCCTTCCCACCCACCTCCCACCAGTTGCTTGACTAAACATGCAGAATCTGGGGGCCCGCAGATCCGAGTTTGAACCCCAGCCGTGCCATTTACTCACTGCAACTTGAGGCAAAACTTTCTCCCTCAGACCTTCAGTCTCCTTTTCTGTAAAGTAGGAACAATACCAGCCTCCTGGAGTTTTCATACAGATCAAACAAGAGACTGTACATAAAGTGTGTCATGTACTCAGTAAAGGGCAGCAAGTGCTGGCTGTTTCTTTGCCGTCAAAATTCCAGCAACCTACTTTGAGTTCTCCTACGAGGGTAGAGTGTAGGCTGCAGCCAGACTCCCTTTGCTCTCCTTGCATTCACTTCCTCGCTTCTTCATTGATTGTCTCAGTGTAGGCGTAGTGAGCGCCAGTCTGTGCCACTGGGTGTGTGGGATGAGGGGTATGATCCTCAAGACATAGCCCCACCTTCAAAGGGCACTTGGAGTCCACTGGGAGAGATGGGAGATGGACAGACATGGCCATGATCAGAACCCATTGTGGTATGGGGGCGGGGGAGGGAGGTCAGAAGGCACTGTGAGAGTAACAGGGATGGAACAGTCAGCCCCGAGGGGTAGGGTCAGGAGGGCTTCCCAGAGGAGCTGCTGTTAGTGCTGAGTATTGGAGGACAAGTAGGAGCCTGCCAAGGAGGGAGCAGAGAAATGAGGAATGTATTATTCTTGCATGGAAAATGACCCTTGGAGATGGGGTGATGGGCAACACTGGCCTGGTTATAGCAAGAGATGAATGTGATAAGAGGCCGGGTGCCCGTGACCCACCCCACTCTGCCTCATGGGCCATCCTGAGCTGAATCTGGACTGCTGGTACTTTGTGAGTTCTGTGCAGACTTTTCTCTCAAACATTGGGCACAGTGGCTCATGTCTGTAATCCCAGTACTTTGGGAGGCTGTGGTGGGAGGATGACATGAGCCCAGGAGTTCAAGAACAGCCTGGGCAACAAAGCAAGACACCTCGTATCTACAAAAAAAAAAAATAGCCAGGTTTGGTGGTGTATGCCTGTAGTCCCAACTACATGAGAGGCCGAGGTGGGAGGATTGTTTGAGCCCAGGAGGTCGAAGCTGCAGTGAGTTAGGATTCCACTACTGCTCTCCAGCCTGGGCAACAGAGCAAGACACCATCTCAAAAAACAAAACAAACCTCCCCATATACATCATGGTGAACCCTCTGAGTGCAGAGATGGAGTTTTCTCCTGCTTCCCAGCATACCTGTCAAGGGCCTCTGATGCTGATGCATAGGTGGGGTGGGTCTGCCACCTGGACCTGGGGCAGGCTAAGTAAGGTGTCTGTATTGCAGCAGCCTCAGACAAGCTTCTCAGGAGTGCTGGCTCCCTTCCCCATTCACACCTGCCCCCTCCTTCCTGCCTCTTAGCAGCGTCCTCGCCCCAGAGCTGCTCAGTACATTCTAAGACTGAGTCCGTCCCCTCTTACCTGCCTGAGCCCAGAGGGGAAGGTACAGGATGGCACAGTGGGAGCCCAGAGACAGCAGCGGCTTGCTGGATGTCCACATGTTTTTGAGAACTTCATCTTGAAAGCCCCTGAAAATGCATTGAATGTTGTGACTGTCCCTCTGTGCTGGCTTGTCATTATGGTCACTGTGACTTGGTTCCCACCCACCCCACCGTTTTTGAAAGAATGTGTTATTTTTTCTCATCGATCCTTTTCACAGACTAACCCTCACTGTTTTGTCTGTCTGTTTTTCCTTTCCCTCCTCTCTCCGGTTCCTTTCTCCTTCTCATAGACTGACCCTTGGTTATCGTTGCAGAATTACGGCAGCGGCATGAGACCACCACCCAACTCCCTCGGCCCCGCCATGCCCGGGATTAACATGTAAGGCGAAAATGACCCGGCCAGTGGCTCAGAGTCCATTCCTTTCCCCACCCTCTGCTTGCACCCTAGGAGACTCATGATAGGAGTCATTGCTGGTACTCCTCTGGGCCTCAGTCTTCTCATCGGTAATATGAGGATATTGACAATCCTGGTGATGAGAGCTCAGCCTCATAGAGTGTCTCCGTGTCCCGGGCACAGTTTTCCAGGCACGCTACATGCATCATCTCACCTAATCTTCATGATAACCCAGTAACGTGATTTCTTATATTTTTTAAGACTGAGTCTTGCTCTGTTACCCAGGCAGGAGTGCTATGGCACAATCTCTCACTGCAATCTCTGGCTCACTGCAGTCTCTGCCTCATGCGTTCAAGTGATTCTCCTGCCTCAGCCTCCTGAATAGCTTGGATCACAAGCACTCACAAACATGCCCTACTAATTTTTGTATTTTAAGTAGAGATGGGGTTTCACCATATGGGCCAGGCTGGTCTCTAACTCCTGACTTCAAATGATCTACCCGCCTGGGCCTCCCAAAGTGCTAGGATTACAGTTGTGAGCCACTGTGCCTGGCCTGATATGGTTATTATTATCCCCGCTTACAGATGAGGTCACCAAGGCACAGAGAGGTGAAGTAACTTGCTTAGGCTCATACAGCTTTCAGTGGCAGAGTCAAGAGGAACCCCTGGACAGTTTAGCCACTGTTCTCTAGTGCACTCATGATTTTTAACCCCATTGTGAGGATGTGGACTCCCTTCTAGGAAAATGCACATCCAGACGGGATTTTACATACTTTATGTCTAATTTTACATATTTTGTAAAGTTTGCCTATCATTTAAAGCAGTTCATGCATTCCTTGAAGTTAGCCATTACTGACCTGAGCAGAAGGCCTCTAAATCCCAGGGCTGTAGGAAGGACTTCCTGTTATGATTTCAGCCCTTCCTTTCTGCCCCTGCCGCCTCCACCCCTTGGAGTTGACGGCACCTTTTTCATTGTCCACATATCTTTCTCCCTCTCTCAGGGGCCCGGGAGCTGGCAGACCCTGGCCCAATCCTAACAGTGCTAACTCGGTGAGTACCTAGGTCATGTGGGGTGGTGTTTGCCAGGGGAGGGGTTCTGGGTGCAGGGGAGCTACTGTCCCCAGGTGGAAGGTGTCATGGGGAGGGGAGATGCAGTAGGACTCTGCTGATGCTTCTAGGGGAAGGCCGTGTGGAGGTGGAAGCCTGGGAGTAATGTTCAGGGGTCATCAAGGGCTCCACCCCTGCCCTGCCTGTCCAGCCAGCCCACTCCTCTAAGGAGTAAGCTGAGAACCTGGGCTGAGAGAGCATTGTTCAGAGTGGAGGCCCCTGCCCATCTCCTCCTCCCCAGCAGGCCTGGAAGGTGTGAGTGCAGGGCTCAGCACAGACAGTGGGGTGAAGGCCAGAGGAGTGTAGGGTAAAGCTGTTTCCTGCCCTCTCAAACTGTTTCCTATGTCCCCACTGTGTCTATGACTCCCTCCCAGGACTGGGGAGTAAGAGACCAGGGTCTCAGGGTCAGGTCAGTGTAGCAGAGAGAACTGGGCTTCAGCCACATCCTGGCCCTCCCAGGGGAACCAAACGGGTGGCCAGCTCACTGGTTGGCAATGCCTTTCCCCACTATGATGAGTGGGTCATGTCCTCAGGGAGGTTTGGCAACTGAGGGCACTTGGTGACTCTGACATGGGGCTCCCCAACATCTTGTTTTTAGATTCCATACTCCTCCTCATCACCCGGTACCTATGTGGTAAGTGTGTGGGTTTGGGGCATTGCATGTCTAGCCACATGGGACCGAGTGTGCAAGAGAACTGCTCAGGGGTCCTCATTTCTTTCCCTTTCCCATGTTCTTCTGGCAGAGGATCCAAGCTGCTAGAACTTGTTGTCAATATTCACACATCTGTATAGACCCGAGGTGGCCCCAAAATCCCCAAACTAGACCTGGGGGCGGCATTTCCTTCTGGGGAGCTGAGAAGTGGGCTGCTTGGCGTCCGCAGGCCTCTTCAGTGGACATGTGTGTGAGCACATAATGCGGGCACACACACCCACAGGGGCCTCTTCATTCTGAAGAAAGGGACGGGAATCCAAACCCACTTCTCAAGCTTGCGTACTTTAGCTCTGAGTGAGCGCTGGAGTGTAGTAAGATGAACAGCGGCTGGGCCGGGGGCGAGCAGTCACTGCTGACCAGGGGGGAAGCGTGCTGGCCCTTCCTCACATGCTTTACCACTGTGGGCATCTGATGTCAATTTTATCTCATCTTCAGGGACCCCCTGGTGGTGGTGGCCCTCCAGGAACACCCATTATGCCCAGTCCTGCAGGTAAGAGCACTTGAGGGGAAAGTGGGTGTCAGGGGGTCACGTTGCCTGAGAGTCCTGGAGAGCAGGTTGCAGAGCCAGAGCTTCCCAGCACTCCTTCCTGAGCAGTACATCTTCCACTGGGCATTTAGGGGGCAGGGGTCCTCACTGTGTGGACTTCAGTCACTCCTCTTCTCTGATGCTGCTCTATAAAGGACAGGGCTGAGCAGAGCAGTCCAGGAACAAGGGTTCTCATTGCCCTTGAATCCTTCTTGTTGGGAAGAACCCTGTTCCGGGTGGGCGTTTCCCCAGACAACTGAGAGAGGGGCTTTGGGGTTCAGGATCTAAGGTGTGCTCCCTCCCCAGTTTCCATAGCTCCTGGCTTCTGATCCTCTATATAGGAGATCCCTTCTCCCTGTTTCTTTAAACAAAAGAGGGCACGCATGCACACACACACACAGCATCACAATTATGTTTCTTTCCCAGCTAAGAATAGCGTACCAGCCAGCTAGAAGGAATTCAACATGCGATCCTTACCCACCCCAAAAATAAAAAGTGAGAGGTAGCTGGATTTCTGCCCAAGAATTACAGCGCCTGCTCCTGATAGAAACGTTTTAGCTGGAGACTTTTCTGGCTAATTGGGGAGATGGAGGGGACTCTCCCCAGCCCCCCTCCTCAGCTCCCCATAGTAGGGAAGCTGCTCGGCTGCAGGGGTGGAGCTGGCTGCAGCCGGGATCCTGGGCTCCCGCTCCAGCTCTCTCTCTCTCTCTGCTGCTGCATTTTGATGAGCTGCATGACCTACATTCCGACTGGGCCACATGCACCCACTCCATATGTTAATGCGTCTCCAGCCCCATCCCTGCCTCTCCCTCCTGCCCCATCAGCCTGCCAGGGTGGCCTTTGGGTAATTTGCCACGTTTCCCTTTCCCTGATTTGATTAAAACCACTTTGTAGGGTGGTGGGGGAGAGCACAAGTGGTGGTTCTGCTGCCCCCACATTGTCCCAGGCGGCGTATGGAGACCCCAGATTTGGTGTGGGGTGGGGAGACGCTAATTTGAACCCATAATCCCCCTGTGCCGTGTCCATACTGCTGGGGTTGAGTGGTTTTCACAGTTGAATTTTCTGTGATTAAAAACTTTGTGAATCTTCATTAAATACAAATTAGCCAGAAAATGGTGGTACTTAGAGGAAATTTTAGGTGATAAAATACAAAAGAATGAGTTCAAGAGCCATGAGTTTGTTTTAATTAAGAAATGAATTAATCACCCCGACTTGTGGGTTTCTACTGTTCTACAGATTCAACAAATTCCAGTGACAACATCTACACAATGATTAATCCGGTGCCGCCTGGAGGCAGCCGGTCCAACGTAAGTCTGCTTTCTAATAATTTACATATCAGACACCATAACAAATCATAATTAACTTCATCAGCTGAGGGGAAAGCAAGTTTAATTGATTTCAGCCATTTGTTACCAAAGATGAATAAAATAAACCGTCAGAAAAGTGATTAACTCTTGGGCAACTCAGTTCCCATTTTATAGCTGGCACGGGGTGGGAGAGGAAGGAGTGGGGTGATGCCCACTCTCTGATTAGAGCCAGAGTGCCGGCTGTACCTCTGGGACTTGCCTCCTGCCATGCTGGTAGGGGAAGCGCCAGGCTGCAGGTGGGGTCTGGTGTGGTCCCTGCGCAGCTGACTGGCTGTGCTGGTCCAGGTGATCCCTCCCCTCCTGGGCTTGTTTCTGGGGCTGTGGAGCTGAGGGTGGAGCCAGCAGCAGGGGCTGCTGCCAGGAGCTCAGGAACTCCTGTACCTGGCAGCCTCTTTGCCTGTCAGAGTTGTGGCCCTTGGGTGATGTTGCAGCTCACATTTCTCCATTTCTGATTCCTGCTTGTCCCCCGCACCCACTGGATGGGACTTGGTTAGTCAGCTGCAGCCTGTCTGCCCACCTAGCAGGAGTTCCCCAAGGACAGGGCCTGACCTGCTTCTCGTCCACAGTCAACCCTTCCATTCCAGTTCCTTCCATTCTTCCTCCATGCAGGCCTCAGGTGAACTCAGCCTTGCCCCTGCAGGAGCTCAGGGTCTGGAAAGGAGGTCTGCAGACTGTAGAGCACTGTGGGGCCTGGGGCCCCAAAATGCGAGGCTATGACCTGGTTGAGCAGGTGGGGCCTTTTGGGGCCCTCTGGTTTTGTTGGCTCCATTCCTGTGGTGACACCCAGATCACCATGTGTTAAACCGAGAGTGTGGGCTGTCCCATGCTGGACTTTGCCCACGTTTTCTCCCAGCAGCCCCGAGGGAGGGTCTCTGGCCTGCCTCCTTCACCAGGGTCCTCACTGGTGTGACCAACCACCTGGCTTTTAATACTAAAGGCCCTACATCCTGAGGACTCCCGGGACACAAAAAGTCCTGGGTTTTGTCAGTGATGCGGAAGTTTGGTGGAAAAGTCTAAAAGCCACGCAGAGGGATGACAGCACTGTTTTTAGCATTGGATGGGAATGAATGGACTGTCTGCCTCAAGTGGTCCTGTCGCCGTGTTTCCTGGCTGTCGATGCTGCATCAGGGCTTGTGACTCACTGCGGAGTACATCACTCAGGGCTGCGGCACTGCACGCTGCAGTAATGCGGGTTAGCAACATCTGCCTAGCAGTCTGCCGCAGATGCAGTGTTAGGCTTTGTGTCTAGATGGTGCTGGTTTCAGTCTTGACATTGTGAATGTTGTGACCATGTTTCCTAAGAGTTCAGATGATGAAAAAGAGAACGATGACAATGCCAGCACCAGCGTGACCCCAGGCATCACTGAAAAAGAAGGCTAAATGACCATGTTACTTTAATGACAGATGCAAGGACACACACAACTAGATCAGGGAGGAAAGAACCCAAACAGAATGTGCTGCGTGGAGTGCGGCAAAGAATGTGGGATCGGGCATGTGGAGAAGGGGAGGCGGAAGCACATCGGACATTGAGTCTCCCAAGTCTGGGGCGTATCTTTCCAAATCAAGGGTTTTTTTGACCTCGAAAGGGACAGCAGTTCTCAGTCAAAAACAGCGGTTGCTGAATTAGCTGCAGCATACGCCTTGAATGGACACCATTACCTTCTTGTTCCCTTGATTGTACTACAAACCAACGTTACATTTCCTGATTTGGAAGTTACAACTAAAAGTCCTGTGGGCCGGGCGTGATGGCTCACACCTGTAGTCTGAGTACTTTGGGAGGCCGAGCTGGGTGGATCATGAGGTCGGGAGTTCAGTTCAAAACTACCCTGGCCAAGATGGTGAAACCCGTCTCTACTAAAAATACAAAATTAGCCAGGTGCAGGGGCAGGCACCTATAATGCCAGCTACTTGAGAGGCTGAGGCAGGCGAATCACTTGAACCTGGGAGGCAGAGGTTGCGGTGAGCCGAGATCGTGCCACTGCACTCCAGCCTGGGCAACAGAGTGAGACTCCATCTCCATAAAAAAAAAAAACAAAACAAAAGTCCTATATGTGAACCAAAGGGAGGGGGACTTGGGATAACAGTTGCATTGCCCCTTTCCAGCAGTGCTGATCCCGTCTGATCCTCCCAACAGTCGTGCTTCCGAGCGCGTCAAGGGATGCCTCAAGTCACAGCAGCAGGTTTTCACTAGCTCTTAGGTATGTTGATTTGAAAACTGGAGTTTCAAATCATTTTCTTGATTTTCGTGAAGATTTTAGTGAAGTCACTGAAGACATAAAAGATTGTTCTCTTCTCCAAATACAACCTAGACTTTGCTCATTTATCTACATATTTGGCAGACAGTACATAGTTAATTTGGGCAAATTTCATTTAGTCTATAAGCTTCTTACCAAGGAAAATGGAAACATCTTACCTGCTAAATGTTCACACCTTATACCCGACACTGTCACAAAGGGGTGTAATTTGCTTACCTGTGATAGCAGCTTTCATAATGAAAGTTTTGGGTCACTTTTCAATTTCCTCAAAACATGCCGAAGTACTTAATGAGATCTTTGGCTTCACAGACAGGAGAATGCCTCTGACGCGTGTCCACGAGATGACTGTCATTATTGCTGGCCATAGAAAAGATGTGAAAATGTTGGCTTACTGTGAAAACTTCTATTTTTTAAAGTGTGAGACAAGAAGGATGTCCTTTTCTAATTTGGAAATGCACTGAGATGAGAATGGAAAAAGGAATTACAATAAAATAGAGGCCAGGCACAGTGGCTCATGCCTGTAATCTGAGCACTTTGGGAGGCCGAGATGGGAGGATCACTTAAAGCCACGAGTTCCAGACCAACCTCAGTAACAAAACAAGACATCCTTACTGTCTCAGCAACAAAAAATAAATACATAGGCCAGGCACAGTGGCTCACACCTGTAACTCCAGCACTTCAGGAGGCAGAGGTGGTCAGATCACTTGAGGTCAGGACTTTGAGACCAGCCTGACCAACATGGTGAAACCTCATCTCCACTAAAAATACAAAAGTAGCCAGGAGTGGTGGTGCAAGCCTGTAATCCCAACTGCTTGGGAGGCTGAGGCAGAGGAATCGCTTGAACCTAGGAGGCAGAGGTTACAGTGAGCCGAGATTGCGCCACTGCACTCCAGACTGGGTGGCAGAGCCAGACTCCATCTCTTGATTTACAAAAAAAAAGATGTCCTAAAGGCTTTATAAAGGCAGGCAATTCAGAGACCAGTGGGAAAGGAAGCAGAGCAAAAAGTTCTAATATATTCTGGGCCAGAAAGAAACATTGTAATTTTTAATTTAAATATTAGTAATGTTTGTTTCATTAATCCTATTGTGTTTATATTTGTTCGTTTATTTAGAGACAGAGTCTCTGTGACCCAGTCTAGAGGGAAGTGGCATAGTCATGGCTCATTGCAGCTTCAGCATCTGGGATCTCAAGGGATCCCCCCCGACCAGAGCCTCCTGAGGAGCTGGGACTACAGGCACGTGCCACCATACCCAGCTAAGTTTTTTGTGTGTTGTAGAGATGAGGTCTCACTATATTGCTCTGGATGTTCTTAAACTCCTAGGCTCAGGAGATCCTCCTGCCTCAGCCTCCCAAAGTGCCAGGATTATGGATGTGAGCCACCATGCCTAGCCTATGTTTTATTTATCTTATACATAAATAATAAACCAGGTGCAGTGGTTTGAGCTTGTAGTCCCAGATACTTAGGAAGCTGAGGCAGGTGGATCACTTGAGCCCACTTTAGCTTGGGTGTTGGAGCAAGACCTCATTCTCTGAAAAATAAAATAATAATTAATATAATATAGCCTATAAAATTTAAATATTTGAGTAAAAAGTTATTTATCAGAGGACAGAAACCTTATAAAAATATTACCTTTTCTTGGCTGGGCGCAGTGGCTCACACCTGTAATCTCAGCACTTTGGGAGGCTGAGGTGGGCGGATCACGTGAGGTCAGGAGTTTGAGACCAGCCTGACAAACATGGAGAAACCCTGTCACTACTAAAAATAACAACATTAGCTGGGTGTGTTGGCGCATGCCAGCTAACTCAGGAGGCTGAGGCAGCATGCCAGTAATCCCAGCTAACTAGGGAGGCTGAGGCAGGAGAATCACTTGATCCTGGAGGCGGAGGTTGTGGTGAGCCAAGATCGTGCCGTTGTACTGCAGCCTGGGCAACAGGAGAGAAATTCTGTCTCAAAACAATTTTTTTCCTCATACGTATCAATTATTTAACTAGTCTGCCTCCTGATTGCTACTAATTGCCGTTGTTAACTAGTTCATATTGTTTATGTCATAGCATTAATCTCATAGAAAAGTAAATAATACAGAATAAATGATGCTGAGACAACTGAATATCCACATGCAGACAGATGAGATTGAATTTAGAGCAGTACCCAAAAGTTTAACTCAAAGTTAATCATGGGGGGCCAGGCGAGGTGGCTTATGCCTGTAATCCCAGCACTTCGGGAGGCTGAAACCGGTGGCTCATTTGAAGTCAGGAGTTCAAGACCAGTGTGACCAACATGGCAAAACCCTGTCTCTCCTAAAAATACAAAATTAGCCAGGCGTGGTGGTGTGCGTCTGTAATCCCAGCTACTCGGCCGACTGACACATGAGAATCACTTGAACCCAGAAGGCGGGGGTTGCAGTGATCCAAGTTCATGCCACTGCATTCTGGCCTGGCTGACAGAGTGAGACTCTGTCTCAGAAATAAGTAAATAAAAATAAAGTAGACCATAGACCTTAAATGTTAGAGCTAAAATGACAACAACTTGAAGAAAGCATAGGAGTAATGACCTTCTTCATGACCTGAGTTAAGCCACGCCGCCTAAGATGCAAGACCAAAAGCACAAGTAGCAGAAGGAAAAAGCAGACAGACTGGACTCTGCTGGGGTTTAGCATCTGTTCTTCGGTGTCAGGAAGTAAAAAGAGAAATGGAATGGAGAACATATTTGCAAATCATGTATCTGATAAGGCACTTGAATTCAAAATAAAGAATGCTTAGAACCACTCAGTAATAAAAAGACAACCCAATTTAAAAATGGGACAAGCACCTAAATGGACATTTCTCCAAAAATTACCAATAGCCAATAAGCACATGAGAAGACGCTCAGTCATTAGGAAATGCAAATCAAAACCACAGTGAGATAGCACTTCACACCCACTAGGATGGCTGTAGTGAAAACGACAGATAATGACTGGTGTTGGGAGGGTGCGGAAGCATTGGAGCACTCAGACACTTGTGGGACTGTAAAATGGCACAGCTGCTTTGGAAAACAGTTTGACGTTTCCTAGAAAGATTAGACAGCCTAGTGATGTCTGCATGATTCGAGAATTGGGTTACCCTATAACCCAGCAGTCTCTTAGGTATCTGCCCAAGAGAAATGAAAACGTGTGTCCACACACAGCTTGTACATCAGTGTCTGTGGAAGCATGAGTCATAATATCCGAACAGTGAAAACAACCTGAACGCTCCCTCCACTGATGAATGGATAAATGAAATGTGGTATATCCATACGGCCGAGTGCTTTTTGTCTGTGGGAAGGAATAAAGTACTGATTCATGTGACAACACCGATGAGCCTTGAAAACATGCTAAGTGAAAGAAACCAGCCACGAAAGCTCACATGATTTTATGTATTGGCATGTCCAGGATAGGCAAATCCATGGAGACAGAAAGTAGATGGGCGGTTGCCTGGGCTCAGGGATTGGAGATAGTTGGAAATGACTAGTCAGGTGCGGGATTTCTTTCTGAGGTTATGGACGCGTTCTAAAATTGGTTGTGGTGATGGTTGCACAATGCTGTAAATACACCGAAAACCACTGAATTGTACACTTTAAATGGGAAAGTACACAATAACTGGTTTTGAAGTAATCCCTGTTTCTTCTTTATACATTGATGTTAAAGTAACATATTCATATGAAAGTGACAACATCCTTGTGCATAATCCTGTATTGCCATGTTTGGGGATTTTTTGGGTCTAGGATGGCTGTTTCCTGAGTTGGCTTCCTCTCGTCCTCTATCATTTGGATTAATAGGCATGAAATTTGTTGCTAGATGGCAAAATGTGCCCAAAAGCCTGTGAACTGCTTTGGTGCGGGTCCCACTGGAGAGGCAAGGATGTCCCCTCCAGTGTGGGTGGGCACAGGAAAGTGGCTCATGCCCTAGCTGTGCCCCTGCAGCCTGGTCACAGCCTTACCCCTTACACCCCGTTCTGGGTTCCGGCAGGCCAAGCAGCCACCCACTGGGTAGCCTTCTGCTCATGCGGAACCCCCGTCTAGAGTGACTTCTGTGATGGCTCTGCCTGCCCAGATTTTACCCCTCAGTTTTGTTGATGCTTTCCTCCTCCTCCAGGCAGTCGGTTATAATTTCTCTGCCTTGCTCTGAAGCTGCAACTGTACTTTGCAGCTCTGGAAGCCAGCATCTCTCTCCTCCTGTTGGGTAGTTGGGTATCTGTGAGCTGCTCCTCTGGGCTGAGGCTCAGGTGACTCAGCTCTGCGTTCATGGTGCCCAGTCGCAGCCAGGCACCCAACAGTCCTCCATTCCACAACCCCACTCCCTTCCCACTCCATGCATGTCCAGTCTGCATCACAGGGCCTTGGCTCTCCAGGCTGGGCTTAGCCACCCTCCCCAGCCCTGTGACTCGTGGCTGTGGGATGTGACCTTTCTGGCCTTCCTTTGCAAAATGAGTTTGATAGTTCCATATAGGCCTGTGGGTGGATAGAATCGACTCTGTCTCTGAGCCCCCATCTGCCATATCCTCAGTTCTGCACAGGAGCCTCATTAGTGACCTCCTGCCACCACCCAACAGTCCCAGGGTGCCATGTGGTGCCTCCTGGACCTAGTGCCCTAGCTCCCTCTTCCCTCCCACTCATCAAACCCCACCTTTTCTCACACCTAGTCCCAGGAAATGTCTTTTCTTTTTTCTTTTTCTCTTCCTTTTTCCCCTTTCCTTTTTCCTCTCCTTTCCTTTTTCCTCTCCTTTCCTTTTTCCTCTCCTTTCCTTTTTCCTTTCCTTCCCTTTCCTTTCCTTCCCCCTCCCCCTTTCCCCCTTCTTCCCCCTTCCCTCTTTCCTTTCCTTTTTTTCAGATGGAGTCTTGCTCTGTCACCGAGGTTGGAGTACAGTGGCGTGATCTCAGCTCACTGTAACCTCCGCCTCCGGGTTAAAGCGATTCTTCTGCCTCAGCCTCCTGAGTAGCTGGGATTACAGGCGCCCACCACCCTGCCCAGCTAATTTTTGTATTTTTAGTAGAGACGGGGTTTCATCATGTTGGCCAAGCTGGTCTCGAACTCCTGACCTCAGGTGATCCACCCACCTTGGCCTCCCAAAGTGCTGGGATTACAGGCAGGAGCCACCATGCCCATCTGGAAACGTCATTTCTAACTTCTTTTTGTGAGCTTGGAGAGGGCCAGCATGACGGTTCCAGGGCTGCTGTCAGGTTCCAGTCCCAGCTCCTCCACCTCCAGCCTCTGGGACCTCAGGCAGAGCATTTTCACAGCTTCCTCACCTGTGAAGCAGGGATGGGGAGCACTGATGTTCTGGTCCCTGGCCTGGCACGGTCGGAGAGCTAGCCACATGTGCCTTTGTCTGGGGAACCACATCCTCCACACGGGGGATGGAGAGGTCCCTGTGGTGGGATCTGAGAGGCTCGGTTTGAGAGCTGCCTCTGGGTGGAACTAGGTAGTGGCAGGCCAGTCCCTCTCCCTCACCTGGGACATAGGAATGAGCACCTCTACCCTGCAGCTTAGAGGGCCCAGGTAAGGATCCTGGCCCAGCTCGCAGGCAGGGCATGTCCAAGTGTGTGTGAGCAGAGCCTGCCAGAGCAGGGGTTCCCCAGGACCAGGACTCTGGTGTAGCTGCAGCCCCCCGCCTGTGAGGGGTGAAGAGGGCCTGGGCCCACTGAGCTGCCATGCCCTGTGCTTCTTCCTCAGTTCCCAATGGGTCCCGGCTCGGACGGTCCAATGGGCGGCATGGGCGGCATGGAGCCACACCACATGAACGGATCGTTAGGTGAGTGGCCCTGCTTTTGCCATGCCCCGCCCTGCCCAGGCAGCCAGTTCTGTGCCTCAGCTCTGGGCTCAGCTGGGCCTGGCACACAGGAAGATCCTAAGAGAAGGATGCCACCCAGAAACTTCTCTGCACAGAAAGTCCTCCACACAGTGTGGGACTTGGATGGAAGGGCTTAGAGGCCTGAGGAGCCCTGAGAGGTGGGGAGATCCTTTGTGGAAGAGCAGGCAAGAAACTGGATTCTTTTTTCTTTCCAGGGTCAGGCGACATAGATGGACTTCCAAAAGTGAGTGTGCACTCAGCCTCCCTGGTTGCACCCCAACTGTGTGGGCAGGTTGTTGGGGACACAGGCGCTCACCTCCTCTCCTCTTTCCACAGAATTCTCCTAACAACATAAGTGGCATTAGCAATCCTCCAGGCACCCCTCGAGATGATGGCGAGCTAGGAGGGAACTTCCTTCACTCCTTTCAGAACGACAATGTAAGCCTCCCCCCGTGTCCACTGCTGTCATCCCCAAGGCCTGGGGACTCTTACCTAACAAGTTGCGAGCTGCAGGGCCGGGCCACAACCTGCCAGCTGAGCTGGTGGCCGTGTTAATGGGCTTTCTACCTCAGTTATTTTTCCAGCAGAAGTGTGCAGCCCTGACTCTGCCCCGAGACTGCCTGCTGGTAGGGCCTTCTGGAGGCAGCTCTGTGCAGGCTGGACTGACTCCTCTGGCACTAATTAAGCTGATATGGCCGGGAGAGCCCTGGGCTGAGAGAGTTGGGGCAGCATTGCCCCAAGGGTCCATTTCCATCTGTCCAGTGGGGCAAGGTTCATGCAACCAGTGATTTTCAGGGCTCCTAACACAGAGGGGTCAGCTGTGTGCTCTTCCATAGAGGGCTTCTGTGTGCATTCTCATTTGAAGAAACAGTGTTATGATTAAGCAGCTTTCCAGAACCCCAGACTGCCAGCCTGGGCAACATGGCGAAACCTCATCTCTACACAAAAATACGAAATTTAGCCAGCATGGTGGCGCATGCCTGTAGTCTCAGCTACTTGGGAGGCAAAGGTGAGAGGATTGCTTGAGCCCAGGAGGTTGAGGCTGCTGTGAACCTTGATCACACCACTGCATCCAGCCTGAGTGACAGAGTGAGACCCCTGTCTCAAAAACAAAACCAGAGCCCCAGACTGGTCCCACCCAGTTGCCCTCAATCTGGAGAGAAGAGGATGACTCGGGCAGGAGCAGGGGAGGCCCTGTCAGCTGCCATAGCTCCCAGCACAAGGGCAGGCTGGCACTGAGAAGTGGTTCTTAGCTCCCGCCTCATGGCCTTCATCCTACCCTGCCAGCCCCCTGCCCACTCTGTGCCACCATGTGCCCCTCAGCCCAGCCACAGCCCCAAACGAGCCCTGCTCAGTTCCGTGCAGTCAAACCAGGCTCCCCGTGCCTCGGTGTGTCAGCGGCCTCCCCACAACCTTCACCCGCTCTTCTCTGCTTCTCCCTTCCAGTATTCTCCAAGCATGACGATGAGTGTGTGATTCCCCCTTCTTCAAGATGCTGAGAGAGCCGGCATTGCAGGCGGGAAGATGCCAGAAATTATGCAAGAAGTGAGGTGTCATTATCCAGGAGCTGGTGGGGAGGGCATCTCCCTGCTCCCCTCAACCCCCTCCCACCCCCTCCATGCCCTCCACCTTTCCCAATTTTAGTTTCATGCAATAAAAAGGCCGAACTTTTTATTCCATAAAACATGAAGGACAAAAACTCAAAATGTATTTCGAGTCAGAGACCAGGAAAATCCTACCCCTTGCTCTTTCCCCAAAGTACCTTTTCTGTACATGACACTTTTTTGTTGTTTTTTTTGTTTGTTTGGGATTTTACCATTGTTGGGAGTTTTTTATTTGTTTTCAGGGGGGTTTTTTGGGGGAAAAATTTTTTTAAATGGAAGCTTCTAGCAAGCCCCCCACCCCAATCAACCCCTATGCTTTCTTCTTAAAAAAAGAAAAAAGAAAAAAAAAAAGAAAACCAGAAGCCCTGCTGACTGTGCCCAAGCCCTTCTACCAGGAAAGCTAGTCTAGGTGTGAGAGCCTACGTTGTCTGTAGCCATCAAAAATAATAATAAACCGGACAGTTTACAATCGGTGGTTTCTTTCAAAAGGCCTTTTTTGGAAAGGAGAGGCAGTCACTGTTTTCCACTTGGTGTTTTGGTTTGTGCAGCGGGCAGGGGAGGAGCGGGAACGTGTTTGTTCTGGCTTGATTTCTGTGGCAACAGCAGTGGCACCCTTGGAGCCCAGAACCCAGCACCCTCATCATGTGGCCAGAGGGGCCAGACCACCGACCCCTTTCAGGATTCCACCACAGCCGAGCCCATCGCTGTGACCCGGTGGCATGCACTGTTCCAGGACGCCTTCCTCCTCCGCCTCTCCTGGACCTCCCTCCTGTCCTGGCCTCCCTGCCTCTCCAGCCCCTCCTCCGCCCCCACCCCAGTCTTCCCAGTGAGAATCCTGCCAGCCGGGTGGTGGCCTGGTGCAGAGTAGGAGAGGCTGCCACTGACAGGATGGCTATGACCTGGGACATGGAAACAGTGACCTTGCATTCTGGTCCCAAGATCCTCGCATCAGTGTCATCATGTGCACCGGCAGGGGGGCTGGAGTTCCGGTTTTCTTTTGTTTTTTCTCTTTATTCGTCCTTTCTCAAAGATGGGATACTGACCAGAATTGCTCTGTATACGCTTGGGACTGGATGGAAAGACTTTGGAGCAGCTGTGGGGGGTAGGGGGACACTGACAACCAAACAGATGTGCTGTCTCCGGTCCTGTTTTTATTTTCAAAACCAACAAGCCCGACAGTGGAGCCTGTCCCCTCCTGGGAGGATGCTCACGGCCCATTCACCTCATCACCCCATGGAAACCTTTGTGTCTTGCCCTGGAAGACACCCGAATTCTTTGTACATTGACACCCCCTTCTCCCTCCCTCCCTCCCTCCCCTGTAGCTGGTCTTTGTTTTACTCCCTCCCCTTTCTGATCCATGTATATCATATTATGTGAGATATCATCTGCCTGAAAAAAGACTTCGTGCGGATTATTGGGAACATTGTAGCTGTTTCTGTGTTTTTTCTTACCTTGTAGTCTGGTTCTGAATTAAGAGAGGAAAAAAAAAAAGTAATTATGCTACATTGTAGTTTGTGTACGATATATGTTGATAACGTTTTATTAAAGGGACATCTTTTTTCCGCAGCCCTTCCTGACCTGTTTGGGGAACGTGGGTTGGAGTTTATTACACTGATGACAAAATGCAGGGTGACTTGTTGGGGACAGTTTTTGTTCCTGGTGCATAACAGGATGAGGTTTTGTGTTTGAGGCATCTGTCCCTTTTTCCTGGGCCTGCAAGTTCTGTGTTCTTGTGGAGTCGTCATGGCCTCTGCAGAAGGTGGGTTGGGAGGGAGGGTGTCAGTCTCACTTTAAATATTTGGGGGCCTTCTAAAAGCCAGTTTCTGTTTCTTGTCTTGCAAGCACATTTTGGCTGGCTGGCATATCTTTTATTTTTCTGGAAGTAGAAAAAGGTTCTTGGTGCCCTGTGGTTCCTATGGGGAGACCCTATCAGCCAGAAGGGCCCTGTAGGCCATAGCCACTCCCTGCTTCCCCCCCACTCAGGTAGGGCTGGCTTCACCCCAGACTCCCAGCTGAAGTGCCTGCTGTTTGCCACTGTAGGGGAGCACAGGGAGGTTGGTTTTTTTTCCCCTAAACCTCCAAGGCAGTGTGGGAGCTCTCAAAGGGCTTTGAGAGTAGTACAGTCTACTTAAATACTGGAAAATGTATGCTGGTGGCATCCTTGGAGATGAATCCATTGGGGTTGGCGGGATGTGGAGGGAGCCATTCCCAGATGACATCTAGGCAAGAAATAGGGCTAGGGTGAGGTAAGCCACTGTGGATGCTGACTTGCACAATGACTAGAACTTTCTACTTTCCTGGAGCTCTGGGGACGTCATTCTAGGCCTGCAGCAGGAGCAGGTGCTGGGGTGGGTGGGTGGGAGGACACTGAGGGCCCGAGCAAAGTGCAGGGTCAGCCCATGTTTATAAGGCCCTTAGGGGACCAGGTAGCAAATGGCCAGGTTTAAATACTGCTTTTGCTGCAGCTTCTTGTGTGGCCGTGGGCAAATTAGTTTATATTTCTGCTCTCAGTTTCCTCAGCAGCAGAATGGGGGGTGATGGTGCCTGCCTCATGGGTGGTGAGGTTAGCACCATAAAGTACTTAGAACAGTGCCATTCATGGACTAAGCATGTAGTGATCACTTGTGTTCATTACAAGTGATGTTAGTCGTGGGGAAGAGTCCAAATGGGTGTGTTGGGGAGTACCTGGGAGGATCTAGAAGATTCCATCTGGTCCTTCCCTCTTTATCTTGAAACAAGGTTTCCTAGGCTTTGCTCAGCACAGCCACCTTTATTGGAAAACACCCCCATTGGAGAGATGAGACTGAGGCTGTGACTAGCCTGTATCAATGGTGCTGACCCAGGGCTGGGGAAAGGTGGGGAGGATGCGACATTTATCTAATACCGGTGCCCCTTTGGAGCAAGAGTCAGGTATAGACAAGAGCCGTGGGATTGGGGTGCTGAGCCAGGAGAAGCCAGGTCACAGAGCCCAGCCTGGAAGGAGTGCCTGCTGTGTGCTGTGCTACCCCTCCGCCTAAGGCCCCTCGGCAGCCCTGCAGTTGTCTTTACAACACAAATGGCCCTGGTGCAGGTTAATTTGGCCTTCCTCAGGGGCAGGTCTCTGAAAAACAACTAGTTCTTGTTCACCAACTGTTTTCACTGCCTGGGGCCAGGCCAGAGCTCTACATGAGCCAGTGGAAAGACCCTGAAATGAGCAGGAGAAAAGGGAGAGTCATGCGAGTCCTTCCACAAAGGAGGGCTTCGGCCCATCACCGAGAGTGCAGGAGTCGGGGCTGGACCACAGCTTTCCTGTTGCAGTCATGGCTGTCCACAGGCCCCTCAATTCTAGGGGTCAGCCGGTGTGGGGTGGGGGGCAAAGCTAGGATCAGGCCTGAGATAGGACCCCACACCTGGGCATCCCCACTGCCCCCTGCCCCAGAGCCAGGAAATGATAAACTTAAGTCACTGACACCAGCAGCGGCACAGCTACTGAGGTGCTCAGCCAGAGCAGGGCTCCAGCTGGGGGTAAGGCTGCTCAGCCTGGCTGCCTGGTGACCTGCCCCAGTCTCTGCTATCCCATGAAGTAGTGGGCTGTGTTCCCAGATTCCACAGACTCCAGGAGATTGATCCCAGAACATACCCAGGGCCTCTCTGAGGGCTCTGGCCCTGAACTGAGAGGAGCTGGGTCTCTTGGAGTTCAGGCTGTGTCTGCAAACCTGGTCTGCAGAGCTGCGGGGCTCCCCTGGACTTCAGCAGTGACTGGGCAGGGTGGGATAAGGGGCTGCAGGCAGATGAGCCTTGCTCTGCCTAACCCTGGGCTCACTGGGTACAGGCACTGGGGGCTTGGAGTTGGGGCTGAGGGTTGGAAATAAAAGGTGAGACCAACGAGGTTGGGTGCTGGAAGGCAGAGTCTGTTCTGTCCTGCCTATTCCCAGGGCACCTGCGGAGCTGCAGAACCTGGCATCTGGTTTCTGGAATTTAGCCCCACCCTTGGTTTCCTGCCTCCATGTCAGCCCTCCAGTGCCACAAAGACCATCTCACCTTTGAGCTTCCACAGGCTTCCTTCTTTCCATCCATCCACCCATTCATGTGTTTTCTGAGCACCCCTTTTATGCCAGGGGTGGTTCTGGCACTACGGGTACAGTAGTGAATAGACACAGAAAGACGGAGATGCCCTTTGTGGAGGTGGGCAGGCTGCAGGAAGAGCTCTGTTCTGGCAAGTTAAATTTGAGATGCTGATTTGATATCCAGTAAAGACGTCAAGTAGGCAGGTCTGAGCTAGAGACATACCGTGGGAGTTGTTGGCACTTAGAGGGTCTTAGAAGCCACAAGACTGGCTGAAATCATCTACAGAATGAATGGGAAAGAGGCCGAAGGACTGGGTCCTGACATCTGGGAAATAGGAGGGACCTGCAAAGCTGACAGAGCAGTGAGTAGACCAGGAGAGCAAGGGGCCCTGATGACCAAGAGAAGGAAAGGGGTACAGAGAAGAGAGTGCTTCCTGCTACTGGGGAACCCAGGTGGCCCTGAGACCAAGTCCAGGCTGCTCACAGCTTCCAGACAGCTGCAGAGCATGGAAGAGCCCTGCACAATCCTGCTTTTCCTTGCCCCTCAGCACTTCACCTCCAACTTTGCAGGACTGTGGATGTCTGCACAGCCAGGGCCTTTGTTCCTGCTGGCCCCTCCTCCTCACTTGCCCTTTGGAACCTAGCTTAGATGGCCTCTCCTCCTGGAAGCCTTCCTGGCTAGAGTAGCTCTCTCCCTGGGTCCCCACAGCCTGGTTCAGTGTATGCCTCCCCCATCAGGCTGGGAGCTCCTCTAAGCCAGGAACCATGTAAGAGCCCTCTTTGTCCCCAGAATCACCAGCACAGGTCCTGGTGCCCAGTAGGTACACAGTGAGTGCTCTTGGAATAACAATGTTGTTGAGTCGTCACCCCAGAACGTGCTCAGTGGCACCCCTCCCTACAGCATGCTGTCACCTGTGGGTGGGTAGGTGTCCAGATGTGGGGAAGGAGGTGGCCTTTGTGGGTATCTGCTACTGCCAATCCAAAGGAGACTACTCTGGCCATGTCCACCCAGTACCCTGGGAGCTCTTGAAGGGCAGGGACCATATCTCCTTCATTCTGTAACTTACACTTCCAGCACAACACCCGGCACACAGTAGGAACTTATTAAATGTGCTGCCCCTGGAGGAGGTTGGGCTCAGTCTCCAGTCCTGACCTATTCTTGGGTTCCATCATTGGCCCAGCTGGGGAGGGGGAGACCCGTGGGTCTCACGTGCACATATCTCTGTGCACATGTCTGAGTGTGTGGTATGCATGTGTGCACGTGTGTGTGTGAAAGCTGGCAGAGGCCATGGTGCTCTGACAGTCTGGCCTCTAAGGGATGGAGGTCCGGCCCTGGGCAGCAAGCCCACTCCTCATATCCAAAGACTCCACTGGATGCAGTCTTAGGATATGAGGAGATGCAGCCTGAGGGGAGAGGGTCCCTGGACCGGGGGGGTGGGTCTTCCAGCAGTGAAGCAGGTAGGCCTTGTGGGTCTTGGACATCTGAGTGTCCATGTTGAAGAGAGACAGAAACACTTGGGTCACCTGCATGCTTTCTGAGACTGACCCACAGCAAAAGAGGAACCAGGGAGATGCTGTCTAAAGCCTGAGAGGATCCTGTCCTGCTCCTTCCCAGAGCCCTGTGAGTTGTCACAGGGCCTCTGCCAAGCACCTGTCCTGGGTCTAGCCTGCACCAGCCTTGGGAAAGAACAGAGAGCAGCCTAAAGTGAGGTTCCCTCAAGCAAGTCCCTCTTTCCACCGGGCTTCTGAGAACCCCAAACCCATTCACTTGAAACCTCCTTGTCGAATGCAGCCTATTTGATCTAAAAGTGGGGAAACCTGCATCCCCATTTTGCCAACGAGGAAGCTGAGGATCTGACAGGGCAGCTGGAATACAGGAGGCTCCTGAAAAGTGGATTCCCCGCAGGCCAAATCAGAATTCCCTTGCCACTGAAGCTTGCTGGAAATGAACTGAAGAACTTTTGAATGGATCAACCAGGCACTTAAGTATATGAGTGAAAAATATGTTCACAAAGGGAATGTCACCATTTCACTTCCCGGTCTTGCTGAAGTTCCTATGGTGGGGTTTCACTACCCAGCATGACCCGGTGCAGCACTCCTCTCCCTGCCCCATCCTCCTGTTCCTTCCCCAGCTCACTGGCTGAGGAGCCCGTCCTGGGCTGGAGACTGGCTGAGGCCCTCAGGTTCCACTGCATTGCTTCCTCTCCTGCGTTGAATGAGGGAGTGGGGACCAGGCTGGTAGACATTTGGGATTTGGAGATGCAAGGACCTCTCTGTGGAGGGGGCAGTTGTCATGACACAGGAGCTTTCCAGCTCTTCACACTACATCATGTGGTCTCTGAGCCTGTTTCCTCATCTCTACGGGGACAATAAAAAACCTCCAGTCCTGCCTGCCTGGCTTTGCATATCAGCTGCACTTGGCAGCTCCCTTTACCAGAGACTGCAGTTGGGCTCCAGGCTCCACAACTTAGCACTAAGGCTGGCATCCGGGCTGTCCTCATTCAGGGTGGGTTGGGAGGA